TATAAGCTAAAGCTTCCCCTACATATAAAGATATACCTATAGTTTTATGTTTTAAAACTAGAAAAATCATCTAAGAAAATTCCCCTCTTAAGATAAGAATAAAAAGATGTAGAAATAAAATATAAAGTAAAAATTTAGTAAAGTAAAAAAATAGCTTACTAGTAAAAACACTTAAAAACCTGCTAGAAACCTAAGAAATGCGCAGCAGTTAGTATAAAAGTACATCTAAGCTTACCTAAAAAAACTAGCTAGGTAATAAAGTATTTATCTTAAAAAGAATAGCCTTATTATTACTAAATAGCAGCAGCCTTTAAAGATAAGTGCTAGTAGAAAAAAGTTAAAAAAGTAATTAACTCTTTACTTTTACCTTAAAAGCTGCTATCTTGTTTAAAGAAAAGAGGTTCTCTTTTAGATACTTTACACAGCGCGCCTTTAATAAATCTAATAACTTTTAAATATAATTCTATTTAGAACGCTTTTTTTTATTACTTTTACTATTTTTTTTAACTAATCTATCTACTTATATATAAGCTCTTGCTTATAAGCCTTTACTACTTTAGTAGACTAAAGAAGCTCTTCTCTCTCCTTCTTTAAACGCTTTTAGGCAGTGTTAGATATAAAAGTGTTATAACATACTTTATAGGCGAGTTGCTTACACACCTAAGTTGCTTACTTTTGCTAAGACCCCACCCTAACAAACTCTATTATAGCCTATAACAACCCGCTCTAGCACTATATAGTACAGTACAGCCTAGAATATTATTTAGATACTACTTTTACTTCTTACTTACATATTTGCGCGTTATGCCTAGTCTAATTGCACTATCTGTAGCGCCTTTAGAATAGCTTACTTACTTTAGCTTACACCTGCTTTTTTGCCTTCTTTTTATTACTATGCGCTCTAAACTCTTTTAGAGCTGTTAAGTATAAGCTTTTTTAAATTATTAAAGTCTTTTTTACTTTAATCTACTTTTTTTTATATAATTTATGTTATGTAGTAGCCTTATTAGCTGCTTAAAGCTTAGTAATTTTCTATTATACTAACACTAGCTTATATATAATTATTACTACCTTTTTTAAAACTTTTTTAAACACTTTAACTATAAAAGTTAGTAAACTATTTATATGCTTTTAAATTTTTATTTTTATAAGCATTAATTATAACTTAAGTTTTAAGGTATTACTTAAGGTTTATAACTACTAGAGCTTATTATATATAAGTAGTAGTAGTAATAAAGTGCATAACTTTACATTAAGGCTTATTATAACTTATTATAAGTTAAAAAAAACTAATTTAGTGCTTTAAAACTTTTTTTAAATATTACTAAAAGTAATTATAGCATTATAAGCTACTTTAAAGCATAGTAAAAACTTTATTTTTATAATATAAGTAATTTAGTTATATATAAAGTTTTTAGCTTAGCGCTTATACACTTTTTTAAAAAAAGTAAAATAACCTACATTAAGTAGCTATAAAAAGTGTAATAAGTAAAAAAGTATATAAATAGTAATAATCTTATTATCTTTATAGTATTACTAAAAATAAAATAAGTTATAGCTTTTATAGCTATTAATAACTAGCAGACAGTAGCTGCTAACAGTACACTTTTCTATATACATGTTAAAGTGCTTTAACTAGTCTAGACTAAGCTAATTAGTAGTCTAGCTATGCTTAAAGATTATAATAACTTAATTTTAAAGTAGATTTTTCTTCTTATACTAGTTTAAAAAGTAGTTACTACCCTAAAAAATAATAAAAAGTAGAATAGCCTACTTTTTAGCATTAATGCTCTAGATAGCTGTTGTCTACTTCTAGTTACCTAGCTAGACTACTTTTAGCTATTCTTATCTCTCTAAACTTATAACAACTACTTTAGTAGATATTTAGCCTATTATAAACTCTATCTTATTAAAGTTATACATATTATTATTTTAAATACTATACTTAGCTTTAATATTCTTTATAAAGTTAAACTAGCTTTAAATTACTATAAAAATTTTATAAAAAGCTTTTTTATAGTTATACTTACACTTAAACTTTACTTTAAGCTTTAAGTAACACTTAATAAATATATTAAGCTAGTTTATACTAACATAGCTTATATTACACTTAGTGTGTAAAAAATTAGCTATATTAGCTATAGCTACTAGCTAGAGGGGAAATCCTTACGCATCTAGCTTAAGTATATGCTAAATAATTACCTACTTTTTATTATTATTTAGCTTTTATAAGTTAGCTATATAATTAGCTTAAAAAAGTTATTTAGTGCATTAGTTACTTATTATCTTTTAAAAACCTTTATAAATAGCTACAGTATGTTGCTTAGAAAGTGTTATGTTTTATTTAAAAGCCTAAAGTGTAAGCTATATTTAATGTTCCTTTAACATATCTAAGTAGTGTTGTTAGAAATACATTAGTGTAAAAAAAAGTAGTGTAGTAAAGTCTTAGTAAAAGTAAGCAACTTAGGTGTGTAAGCAACTTGCCTATAAAGTACGTTACTAATTATTATTTTTTACACACTTAACGCACCTGTCTAAGGACAAAGTTAATATATAAGATAACTCTAATAACTAGTAAATGTTACAGGGTTTTATTTTTATCTAATAAAAAGGATTAAGCTAATAGGTAGCATGTAGATAATAGAACAAGTAAGACTAGTAAGCTATTTAGTATAAATAAAGTAGACATAACAGACACCTTTTAGTAAGTAGACACTTACCTAATAAATAATCTCTTACTAACATAGTTATGTAAGTAAAGCAGTAAGAACGCTGCTTAGAAGAAGAGGCAGCGTGTTATAGTCTATAGTTAGACTAGTGTAACCCTACCTGCAGTGCTTTATAACTTAGCTATATTAGAACAGAGCTTACTTACAGACTAATTAAAAGACGCAAAGGCAGCGTAGCTGCCTATAATTACAGAAGAATGCGTTATCTAATAAGAAGGCAAGCTAAGAAGGTAGAACAAGCTTAAGCAAGTTAAATAAGTTGCACTAGGCAGACTTATTTAGACTTAAATAACTTGTTTTTAGCACTACTAGATATGTATATAGTTTTAGCTTAAACGAACCTTTAAAAGGTGTGTTTAAAGTTTAGTTTATTTTTTATATAGACTAAGTAGCATTCTAGCTTTCTAAAGAGCTATAATACTATTTATATATCTTGCAACATATATGCCTCTAATTCTGTCTAACAGGACTGTTTAACCTAGCCTCTATACTGCTGTTACAGGGACAAACCACGATCTAGTCACTCTACCTCACTCTAATAGCCCATTAGCCATTACGCAGGACTGTACACCCTGCCGTCGGCCCCTTGCATTCCGCCCTGCCCCTAGGGATAATATCGACCCGCGTGCTTCTAGGAAGCAAGGATTGTAACTAGCTATAGTACCTATCTACTACGTGCGTAGCCACACAGAGGAGGCATCCACTGCGACTAGTAGTTGTTGCAAGCTCTAGAGCTAACCTGTTACTCCGCACAACAGCTTGCTCTTTAAGAGCCACTGTACAGTTAACTAGCACCCCCTCTAACAACAGCTGTACAAACAAGTAACTCGTCTCTTCCTCTACTGTCTTGTTATAGAACCCTTTATATATAATAAACTTATAAAGTAGACTACTTTAACATGTTAATAAGTCTCTTCTAAGTATAATAAAATTTGTATATAGTAGACACTTTTATCTATATGTGTATAGAAGTGTATAAGCTGTTTTGCTTTATAAAGGACTTTAAAAGCTAAATAATATAGAATTTTAAAAACTTACTTTATGCATTTAAGCAAGAGCTTCTTTATGCTCTAGCTAAGCATATAATCTATTTTATATAAAAAAGAATGCTGTACGTAGGCTAAAAAGCTAGCAGGTGTTGTAGACTAGTAGTATACTATTAGCTCTATACAAAAAAAAGAGAAAAAAGCGAAAAAATAGTATAAAAAATAATAATATAAAAGTAATAAGTAAGTAACTTAATTTATAAAAAATTTTTTACTAGCGTTTTTATATAAGTATAGCTGCGTCTGTACATGCGTATAGCTAAATTAAGTTACTTAAAATAGTTAGCTATCTAGCTTATATATTAAAGGCTATATATACTTAACAACTCTTTTTCTTTGTATAAAAAAAGAGTAGTAGTTAATTATAAGAAAAATTTTGCCTACTTACTCTTATTACAGGCTGTACGCTTAGCGTACAGCTGCCCACCACCTACCGCGTGCGTAGCCACGCAGAGAAGAAACCTACTACCAGATGCGTAGCCATCTAGAGAAGTAAGCTAACTAACATTTATAGTTTTTTTTTAATACTGTAATACTTTTTTATAAAGTTATTATAGTTTTTTATTAAAATGTTTTAATATAAGGCTTTATTATCTAAGATCTCCACTCTTCTATTTAGGTGGGTCAACGATGGCTTGGTGGTCAGCGCAAATACCAGCAGGAACCGTTTTCCTCCAACCACACATCTTTCGTCGACTTCATATATTACTAAGGAGGTATTTTCTATGCTGCCTTTAAAGATGGATCTTGCTAGAAACTAGGCATCTGTGTTATGTTCGCAACAATCTTAATTCTCTAATATTATGTCCAGCCGTCACAGTAACCTGCTAAAAACCCTAAAAAGCAAGGAGCATTTAAATTTCTACCTTTTAAACGAATTATTCTACACCCAAAGGACACCGTGCAGTAGCTGCCGTTATCAGGCTACTTCTAACCTCAAGTGATTGCCGGATTTCATTTTCCGTGGTGACGGAAACACCTCAAACTCATCCCCGCAGAAGGGCCAACTCGAAATCTCGCAAATTGCATATCCAGACCGGTGCCTAAGTACCAAGAATCACCGAGGTGATGGACTACCCCGCGGTTCGCCGGCTAGAGCTCTTTGTTTTACATGAACTTTCTTAAAGATTCTACTTTGTACATACTTAGGCCTCTTCATTCTCGTTATCCCTTCTACTCTTTCGTACAATTTTGCGCACCTTAGTAGAATGTATGGTTCCTTACTATGGCCGATTTGAAGTCCGCTGAAGGTGGTTCTGAAACGAGCTTACCAGAAGATGTAGAGAAAGAGCCGTTGGGAAAACTGGGGGTAGATGAAGACAACTTCCAACATGAAAAACCTTACCAGGCGACCACAGCAATTGGTGATCGTTGTCTCGTTGTAATGGACCTTGAAAACGGCCTTGTGGGGTGGGAAAGCGGTGATGATCCAGCGAATCCTCAGCAAGTCCTAGCAACATCTCGCAATGAGTGTTATCTAATTGGTATTTAGGAATTGGACATGGGGGAAAAAATGGACCCTCATGTTTTTCATGGCAGCCAGCTCCACGTTTTCCCCAATGGCATCCTCACTATGCGCACCTGGAACTTCCCTGACCCTCGAAGAGTATGGGCTCACCTCTAAAACGATCGGAACATTAATGATATCAATATTTGTTCTTGGATATGCTGTTGGACCACTCTTTCTTGCTCCATTATCTGAAATTTATGGCCGAGTCCTGGTAATAAATGCTTCGAATGCTTTTTTCAACGCGTTTATACTAGGATGTTCTTTTGCACCTAATATGATGAGCTTGATTGTCATGCGTCTTTTGGCTGGAATTGGTGGATCAGCGATCATGACTATTGTGTCAGCTGTTATTGGAGATGTTTCCAGTGCACAAACGCGCAGCAGCGTCATGTATCGTTATCGGCACACCATCTCTCGCTCCTATCAGTATGTATCGCACGCCCCCCTCACCGTCAGAGAATGGGAACTGACTTGGAGTGGATCTAGTCGGCCCTATTGCGGGAGGTTTCATATCCGAGCATCTTGGGTGGCGCTGGGCTTATTGGGTCCTATTGATGGGCAGTGGTCCACTCAACATCATCATGGTTTTCTTCATGAGCGAGTCCAACCATCCCACAATACTAGAAAAGAAGGCACGGCGACTCAAGAAGGAACAAGGACGAGATGATCTCCATTCCTATCTGGAGATGCGATTGCCGCCACATGAAGTTTTGGCCAGGAGCATTGTGAGGCCAGTAAAAGTATGGCTTCTGACATATATCGGAGGAGCAATACTGACTATATTTCGTAGTTCCTGTTCAAGTCGCCAATCGTTTTTCTAATCTCACTCTATGTTAGTATCGTATACGGCACTTTATGTTAGTGGCATATTCATATTTATGACGTGTGTTCTAACTATGAGAAGATTTACTCTTTACCACAATACCCATAGTGTTTCAGGATAGATATCATTTCGCCCTTCAATATACCGGACTTGCATATCTAGGTCGTAAGCAACCTGCTCGCGCAATCACTCGGCAATGCTAATCATGACTTTAGTTGGAGTTGGCATGTTTGTATGTCTACTTCTACGCCTAAATATTCTTTCGCATACCTAAAACTTAGCAGATAGCGCTTGGAGTTATCATGAAATCTAACGACCGTAACGTGACCCGCCTGCGAGAAAAGAACAATGGTGTTTTCGAGCGTAAGGTTCCCCCCTCAACTTTCTATCTCTGGTAACACGCAGTCAATAGCTGAAATGCGCCTCTCGACGACTACTTACTTCGCTCCCTTCATGCCTGTCGCATTATTCATCTATGGATGGACTGTTCACCACAAAGTCCATTGGATCGTTCCATGCCTGTCCTTCGTTCCCTACGGCTTCGGTCTACTCGGCATCTTCGTTCCATGTCAGACATACATGGTCGATGCCTTTCTTGAAACAGCAGCTTCAGCGGTTGCTGCACTTGTCTGCCTACGGTGTATATTTGGAGCGCTCCTACCATTGGTCGGACCGAGGGTGTACGAGAGCCTGGGTCTGGGCTGGGGAAACACGCTGTTGGGGTTTGTTACGTTGGCAGTAACTCCTGTGCCTTTCGCATTCCTGAAGTATGGGGGCTGGATTAGGAAGAAGTATCCTGTGAAGCTTTGATTGAGACACTTGGTTGAAATGAGCAAGGATATCAAGAAGCGGCTAGATTTGCATGACCGGCTCATTAAGCCAAAGAGACATGACGACGAAACTCGAGTCTCGTCGAGCATCAGCATTCGTCCTCGGCGTTACTTTCTTTTTGCGCTAGGACCTGACTCGAGAAGTTGCATTTCAGGCAATATCTCAAACCGCAGCTCTTGAATAGCCACATTGACAAAACCAAATCTCGACATGGGAATAAGCCACCGGGGTCTTTTTGTTTAAAGGAGGCTCATTCACCTATCGTGTGATGGCTCGTTCATTTCCTTCGCTCTATTTTGCCGTATACTTACGGATTCCCGTCGCCATAGGCGCCGTTCAGAGTATCATTTAACACGCGACTTAGCACTAAAGGTGTAGAGAAATAAGGACTTCAGGTTACTTGCTCATCACTATTCAGGTACGAATTCAAGTTTCATCCACCAAAATGCTACTTCCACACTTCATCCCACTGTTACTTCATTCGCCCTAACCGCCTATTCACAGCCAGAAAATGCAGTAGAGGTGGACTCTGTTCAAACCTTCCATAAAAGCCAGAGCTTCTCATGCTAAGCTTGTACCCCAGCTTTTCTTCTATTGTCTCGTAACGCATATGCTCATCCTAATCAGGGCCTCATAAACGTCCCACCATCCAAGCATGCGCAAATTGCCAATTCACCGCTGATGGCGACTAGTGTTCAAACTTCAAGCGAGGGGCGTGCTTATCTTCAATCTAGTATTGCGTTACTTTTGGCGGCTAGGGACATGTACCGAAAACTCGTTTACTTGCCTTAACAGCTGTACGTGTTCATAGCTTCAGACTACTAAATATCCCATAGGACTAGCTAATATGGCAAATGGAATAGCTTCTGATCCTGGCAACACTAATCCTGCAGATGCTTCTGAGGAGACACCAGCATACACTCCGGAAGCGACTCCCTATCCGACTGGAACGCGAACGACAACCTGTTCTAGAGGAAATGTGAGACGCACGAGGGGTACATCTGCGAAGGGTTTGTCGACTTCAAGTATTAGTAGGGCGGCACCTTCCCTGTATGTAGTGTAATACCTTATATAAATTATTTTATTTAAAGGTACTTAATAAACTTATATCTAAAGGTTCTGCGTATCTGCTCTAACCCTGCTCTGCCCCCTACGCTACTTATATCTTTAAGTATTTAGCTGCGCTTTTTTTCTTAACTAGCTTAGTAGTTTTCTAATATTCTTTTATACAAGGCCTATAGGTGTTAATAGAATTGCTAGATTTCTAAGTCCCCACGCACTCCTATATGCCTCTAAGTGGATTCACACCGCATTTAGACCTATTTTCTTGCCTTCGCTGTTACAGTAGAGATTTTATCAATAGACTTATAAGATATGCCTATGATTTTAGTAATTTAAAAAACTAACATCCTAATATTAAAACAAGTTTGTATATATGTAATAATAGCCTTACTAAATTAAGTAGGCATAGATTGTAGATAGTAGGTAACAATTGTACTACTAAATTAGGTAGGGGAAATTATTTTAAGGTCTGGGGGACCACAGCTAAGCGCTTAGGCTATGGGGCAGACTTTTTAGAATGACTGTATTGCGGGCAATTCTGGAATATTCTTTGCAGCTTTCTGCGTTTGAAGCAGGAAGTTGCTAGTTTGGGAAACCCATACTGAATTGCGAAGTCAATAGCGATATGTGCTCACATTTAGAATGCGGAATAATAACCCTTCTCTGTCGAGGGTCTTGGAACAGGACGATTGAGTGTCAATACTGAAAACCGTAGTTTCCGTGGCTTAGCGTGCCTCAGGTGGTTTTAGGAGAAGTGAGATTCCTCAATGGCTTAGGACTGAAAACTAATACCTGGACCGAAGGATCATAGACCGGGGTAAGAGTCATACATGTGCTGGGATTTTTCGGGCTGAGACGAAAACATAGGATCAAAAGGTTGCTGCTAAACGGCACGTAATTCTACCGTCAAGTCGCTTCAATCCCCATTGCTCTTAGGGTTGATTTTAGTCGTTGTATTGAATTAGTTAATGAATCGGCCATGCTTCACTACCCATGAACATGGCTTATTGACGAAGTGTAAAAGAGCCTCGGTGGGGTTCCCGAGCTCAAGAGCTCCACCTCAAGAACCCAAATGCCGCATTCAACACCACCCCCATTACAACCGCAAGCTGTCTTCTCCTCGGCCAGACGCCCTCTTCCCTAAATCCCCATATCAGCGCTCCGAGAGGCCAGAAGAAGCCCGTTAGATACCCATATAGCATATCATCCAGACCTCCCTCCTCTACCGTCAACCCAGCACCCCATCCCGTTTCCGTGTCCCCCGTCAGGGCAGGAGAGGGATCCGTAGCTGTCGAGTCCAACCACCTATCTTCCATCGCCCTCATTTCCGTCGGACTCGGCATGGTGTCCGGGGTATGTGTATACGACAAATTGGTCTGGAACTGCGATCTTAGTGTCGCTACCTCCGGCGCGGTAAACCCAGACGCTAGCAACCTGTCAAAGCCCTGCGGCGCGGGAGTCGTCGTCGAACTTCCTCTCCTCCGTCCCGCATTGGCTCCGCTTGTGCTGGAGCGTCGCAGCGTACTAGAGGGGTGCGACGTCTGGTATTGCTTTTGGAGAGCGATCTCGGCGTTTTGGGCTCCGGCGGCTTCTGCGACGAGATCGGCGGGAGATAGAGCGTCTCCTAGCGAACAGTGTATATAGTACCTCTGTGCCCCGTGGTGTTGTGTATCTGCTCCTTCGCCTTCTGCAGGTGACTCCCGAACAGGTTGTTTCCCCTTGCTCTTGCTGCCAGGTCCATGCTCGTTGTACGCTCCATCTCGGGGCGGCAGAGGTGGTGGAATCCTTAATGAGGTAGACAAGGGCGCTGCATCCGTGAGGACCTTGCCAGCATAGATGAGGCGAAGACGCGATGAGGCATGGGCATGAGGCAGGTTTGGTCGGATGAGTTGTTTAAGGGAAAGTGTTGTAGTAGTTCTCGGCGCCGTTATTGATAGCGGAAGGTCGGGAATAGACGTCGCGAAGCGAATAATCAGGTATACGAGCTGATCGGGGAGCGTCGCTGCTATGGACATGGTGGAGCAATTGAGAGGTGCAACGCGTTGGAGGGTGGATTGCAGCCTGACGGATAAGCTGCTTAGTGTGTGGGTGAACTGAAGTCACAGAAATTAATATTCATGCAGCCAGCCATTGCAGCTGTAGCATTGTGAGGGTTCTCACCTCTTGTTGGTGTCGACAAGCATACGGATTACAGCCCCGGAGATCTTCAGACCATGATGGATCTGAATGCTTGGCATCTAAACGTCATCTATCCCCACTCAGCACTCATACATAAACCCGATCTCTCAGACATCCATCATATTACGGACTCCGCACTCATAGAAATGTATTGTCAGTTCTCCGCTCTGGATTTGCCTGAAAGTGACCATCATTCACATTGTTCTGTTCGGGTAGAAGCCAAGCACCAATCGCGAGCAAGTTGACGAGGTCAGTGCTTTGAAAGCATTCAATTGCTCTATCTAACATGTCTCCAGGCATGCAAGCGCATGCTGGCACTTCAAGAGAAGTGCACTCACCTAACCACCAAGAAATCCAATGTGGAATCTTCCGTGGGGTGGAAGAAACAATAGTCCTAAGGGACACTGGGTAGTCAACCCCCCATCTCGTTGAGGCTGAGATACAGTGGAGCAGGGCGTGTACACGCACGGATTCGTTGTTGAGTTCGAGGACGAGGAGGATCCAGCGTACTATCTAAACAAGAGTTCGGAGAATCTCGCTTTCGTTAACTTCGTATCGAAGATCATGCAAACCGTCACGGTCTTGGATTTCGAACCTGGGAAATTCTGATATTGCGGAGAGGAGCAGATGCAGATAATAATGGAATGGACTCCCTAGCCTCAAATGCTGAGGTAGCGCCGGGTATGCTATGCTAAAGTAGAATGGAATATTTACGGTAGAATAGGAGTAGAAGGAGCTAAGAGACACTGAAGGACTCTCCACAACCACATTGCTCAGCTAGTGAAATGTTAGCATGGTCGCGAAAACAGTGGAGGTTTGACTCACTAATATTCGGGTTCTTGAAAACAAACCTTTGGTTCAGCTTGTCTTCTAGCCAGTCCATCTCGCTGCCAATGATGTTCAAAAGCGCCTTATTGTCTATTAACACCTTGACACCGTCCTGCTCTACCTGTTCGTCTAGCTTCGACGGCTTGTCCACATACTCCAAGTGATACGCCAACCCTGAACACCCCTTCGCTTTTGTCCCTATTCGAATGAGCTTTGGCTCTGGTTGATCGAGCAGATCTCTCAGGTGCGACACCGCGGAAGGAGAAAGCTTGATGGTCGCTTTCCGAGGCCCGAAGTTATATCGTCGCGGCCGCAGCGGTTTGGGCGACGGTGTCGGTTGGCTTCTTTGAGCTTCACCCTCAGACACACTTATACTAGGGCGATCCTGTTGCGTTGAAGCCTCGCGCTGCTCAGGCATCAACCGTGGCGCTATCGAACTGGTGACCTCGGGTGCCCCACTCACTCTTGAGACATCGGGAACCGCCCAATTGCGAGGGAGTGGTTCAGGGTTCAGGGTTGAGGGGTGATGAGCGCTGACAGTCTGCAATTGCCGTTTGGAGGAATGGTCAAGGGACTTGTACGAGGAGAATGTTCGGAGGCATTGTAGACATCGGTGTGAGGCGGAGGACGATGCGGTGAATTTGAGGAATACCGAGGTAGTAGAAGAGAAGAGCGGCCCCGCAGCGCGAGGGAGAGCCATGGTCGAGGAGGCTCCAATACCTTGAAGTTCAGTGTTCGGAACAACAGGGAGGCAACCGACGATGTGTATTGTGGAGAAAAATGCGAGTCTTTGATTTCACAGAAGCTCTATGTCATCTGTGGCAAATCTTAGCACGTGCTGCGATTACTAACCTGTTGTGCTGATTGGCCAAGAAAATCCCCCCCTCATGGGATTGCCAAGGCCGACCCTGCAAGCATCTCGGAAAACGACGGAACGCGGTGAAGTCCGATCGCCCTTTCACCCCACAACCACTTCCTTACAGCACGCAAAATACGAAGCTTAGGTGCAGGTGTAGATTGTAGTTCCGCCTTAGAGAGATCAAGTTCCCACCTTCATACGCATGTGAAAGATGAGTGCAACTGGTTTTTTGTGTGTGGTTTTGGGGTGGCTAGCAAGTATCTACACTGCACTTGATTGTCCCCTCCTTACGGTCTCTTGTCCTAGGCTACGTCATAAAGCATCTCCCGGTGTCGTTTCATAGTTGCATGGGCGAGGGGCCATAAAATTTTCTCTTCTACGCCTTAAGCTCTGGAACTTCCTCCTTTCTTGTTCCACTAAGCGGGCCTTTCTTAACCATGAGCGTCATAACCTCATAAAGCACGTCCTATATACGTTATTTCATGTACCTTTGGTAGTGTGCCGGTCCAACTTACCGCAGCGGCCATCGTCGTCAATTCGGCATTTGTATCGTAAGCAGGTGCAACCTCTACGATGTCGGTGGCGATGAGGTTGACCCCCTCAAGACCGCGAATGATTGTTCGCAACTCTCGAGTCGACCAGCCACCGGTTTCTGGAGTGCCCGTTGCAGGGGCAACTGTTCATTCAAGAATGAGTCTTGCGCTTTAGAAGCGTTCGAGAACAAACTTACAGGCCGGGTCAAGAGTATCAATGTCGATGCTCAGATACACTGGCTTCTCTGTACCAACACGATCCCTGATCTTCTTAATGATGCCGTCAGTGCCGATCTTGTCAATCTCCCTAGCTTCGACAATTTCAAACCCACAGTAGCCGTCATTCTCATAATCGGACGGGCCCGAGAGCGTTGTGCGAATTCCAGCATGGATGTTAGAGTCGTTGGCAAGGAGACCTTCTTGCGCGGCGTGGAAGAAGTAGGTTCCGTGGTTGATGCTAGCCTGTTGGCTCGGAGAGCCACCAAAAACTTTTGGCTTCCAAGTATCGCTAACGGCACGGTTAGATCAATCCATACATTCTTAGGTGCTGCAATGGCAGCAAGGACAACTTACAGATGGCTATCAAAGTGGATCACGCTCACAGGACCGTATTCCCTTGCCAACTTGTGAGACTTCGTTTCCCGATAATAGAGTACAGGAAACCCACCGGTTAATAGAGCGCAATAATGGAAGTGTGATGGTGTGGTCACTGCGACATACTTAGGCCGGTCTTGGAATTCACCTGGGAAACTCACCCTCCCAACGTGATCAATCGTGGCAATGTTCTTCCTTTCTTCGAAGGGCCGGGTATTGAAGCGTCCGTGTACGGCGCACGTGACAGTAACAAATTATGGCCTTCTTCAATCTGCTGGAGAGCATAAGCATTGTCATAGCTACAGATTCGAGTCAGTCAGCTGCTTCCCTAGACTAGTCTAAAGCAGGTCCATGTTATCTTTCCATTTTGTTTGCAGGCTGTAGAAAAACTCAAGAAACAGAGAATACGGTGCTTACGAGGTTACTGGAATGTCACCGCAATCAAGGACCTTAGCCCAAGAATTAAAAGGATTCGCGCCCAAAGGAACGTTGTAGCCGCCACTGAAGCCAACCCTTCGTGAGCCTGCAAGCCCACAAGGAACAAACGGTAAGCATTCGACTGCTAGAGGAGACATACTATAAATTAAGGCGGCGAGAACCTTGCCTGATTCCGCTTGGCCCAAACCGGGCTCCTGGGCGGTATGAAGTTCCCGTGTCAAACGGAGCGCCTACCAGATTTTCAGCGCCTTCATAAACATAATTTAGCTACGGGCAGAGGTACCAATGAATGCGATATCGTATCTCACATGGTGACTTGAGAGGCAAGGGTGATATTGGATGCGACCGAAGGTAGAGATGCCCGAGAAGACAGAATCTGCCTGTGTGATAGGTCAATTGCGGATTCGCAAGCTGTGCTCCGCTGTCAATCCACATACTTGAGTGCCACCATCTCCAGGCAATGTATTATACCACAATCCCTGATGCGGACCGGCAAGTGGCTCTTGATCACTATCGTGGTCGCTGTGAGCGGCCACGATGGCCGAAAAACACATAACAACATTAGAAACCTTCATGTTTAGAAAGATGGGGTCTGCCTGTTGAATAGGGTGAGAAATAACGAGAAGGTACAGAAAGCAGAGAGTGTGGAAAACAGCAGTAAATGACAACAAAATCAGGACCCCTGTATCTCCTTACTTCTTGACCTGTACCTGTTAGGTAAACAGCTTAAAGCTACCCTAGTCCATCGATCTCCTCTGCAAGATGACTCTCTTGCCGTCAATTGGCTAGATGAGGAGCTCTAACTTTCATCTTCGGTGGAAGGATGTTGTGGTTAGCCTTCCAGGCCGACCAAGACGGATGAATTGGCCAATGACGACACGTGTGAAGGATTTCGTAACCGCAAAACTCAGCATCTATATCCCAAGCTTGAGGCGCCTTATCTGTGCCGTGGCGGAAAAGAGACAAAATTAGGGTAAGGGATGAAAACCTTGGAGCTTATGCATGCCGCTGCTTCCGCTGCAGCTCTTACGTATCGCCAACGCAGAGGGACCCGTCGTAAAGTGGTTTGTCATATCCTCAAGCGTCAATTTGCTATCTCTCGGGAGTTGAACTCGGAGAGCTTCGCATAGAAACCACCAGAATGGCAGTTGATGGGCCGATTCCGTGGTCCGGATCAACGACTAGAACCTTGTGAGACGGATCCTTGTGGTATCGTTGATAAGGCTCACAATGGCGGGCAGCTGAGTCTGCCAACGTGCATATTTAGTGATGCATGAGGTTGACATGTCATCCGACTACGGAATTGGAGGCGTCGTCGGCGTGGGGAAGTTGCAGATTCTGTTTTTCGAGGTTGCTGAAGGACATGACGTTTGGCGAGCAGAGTTGAAGGCAGGCGGCTCGCTTAACTCCAAGCATTTTTAAATAGTTACACACATAGATAATATCTGTTAGCTCTACATGTCTATAATATTGCCTTCATGAAGTCGTAGATCATGGTCTCGTCTTGCCCGCCTTTCTTTACTCATCATTGGTGCTCGTTCGACCCGGCTTCCCCAGACTCGCCCCTCTCAGCCCTGTCTTCAGGGTCCATCCTATCGAAAGCCTTCTTTACTTGATAGTCCCAGTTGCTCCATGCGACGATAGCCCATTCGGCGAACCCCACCACATACAGAGCAATGCATTGCCCTACCCAAAGACCAGCTAGACCCCAGCCATGAAACGCAAGCCAGATACCAAGAGGTAGTGCCCCGCAATAGTAACTAACAAGATTCACGGTGGCGCCCACATGCTGTCTGCCCATCCCTCTGAGTGCGCCGCCGCAGCTGCCGTTGAGCCCGTCGGCAATCTGGAATAACGCAACATATGGCATGACTTCTGCAGTTAGTCTGATAACCCGAACGTCGTCGTTGAATATTTTCGCATAGACATCCTTAACGCCCATGAGAACGGCGAGAACAGCCGCTCCAAGCACCATGCTGAGAACAGCTGCCGTGTTTGCTGCTCTTGCCGCACCCTTCGCGTTGCGTGCCCCGAGGAGGTTGCCAACACGTGCACTAGTAGCGACACCAACACCAAAAGGAATGGTGTTCATGACCTGATCTGTGGTCATGATAACACTCTGTGCCGCGAGTGGTATTGTCCCGAGTTTCCCCGCTGCGAGGGCTACAATTTCGAATGCCCACCACTCTGTACCCACATGGATAACTCCAAGAAATGCGAGGCGTGCAAATGTCCACATATTTTGTAGACACTTGCGGCTCCAACCCCCCCAGCACTCCCACCCATCAATGAAGCGGGCATATGCAAGGAGAAGAAAGAAGGATATCCAATATGCAATACCCGTTGCGATTGGCGCACCAAGGAGCCCAATTTCGAAGGTATAGACGAAGAGATAGTTCAGGCCAGCGCTTAATGGGGAGCTTATCAAGAGGACGTATGTCCCAGGCCTCATAATCTCTATGTTTCTATTAGTTCTGTTAAATAACAAACGCATCTAACGAAATGCGTACCTTGGGCTTGAAGGTACTTCTTTAACGCCTCAAAGTAGATATAGCCAATACCACCAGGGACGAGGACAGTCAAGAATTTTGCTGAATCCCGCGCGATATAGTCCTCTTGACCAAGGGCTTTGAAAACGGGCTCCGCACAAACCCACAAGATAGAGACGGGTAAGTAGAATAGAGTGAGGACGACAAAAGACCGCTGGAGAATGATGCCCAGGTCGTGGCGGTTTCTGCTTCCAGTGAAGCTTGCAGATGCAAGAGTGTCAATTGCCGTTGTTCCTCCGAGAGCAACAAGCCATCCCGTTGCCATGGCGAACATATAGGAGAACGCGGCAGTAGCAAGAGCTTCCGGCGAGAGTCGTCCAACGATCAGAACAGACACGGTCTGGAGCGAATTTTGAAGTGTGTAGGCAAGAATAACCGGTATCGACCCTCTTAGGAGAACCCAAAACTCCTGGAGGATAAGCTGGAACTTCGTCTCGTCTCCATTTTCGAGCTCGTAAGACTCGCCAGTACCCCACTCATCCTCGGTCCGCGGTAGCAAGGGGGATCGCTCACTTGGTGGAGAATCGGAGTCAAACAGCTTAGATTTCCTAAGGAAGTTTGGTAACCAGGATCGCGAGCTAGCTGGCCGGCTCTCCATTTTGTCGATGATAAGAATTAACGAGCGAAGAATGCAGCAGGATAAAAAGAACTGTAGCCTTGCCTGTCGAGTTAACACAAAGGTTTATATTTGAGTAGCGTGGCGGTGGGTTACCCAAAGAAGGAGTCCATTATATGAGAAACGAAATCACATTAGACATGTAAAGAGAACTCGAGTCTTCTGACAGCTAAGAATATGGATGATGATAGACCGGGTGATGACAATAGAGATGATAGTACGAAAACGAAAGGGTCGAGCCGAATTAATCACGGACAATGCAATCCCTCCTGAGGGGCAAGGCATCCAAGTGGCCAACCCTGAGAACGGACATGCAGGGAGTTCCGATTTGGAATGACAACTCACGATCTCAGTATTTCCCGAGTGGATCGGAATGCTGTGGTAGCCTTATCAACCTGCATTCTGTCCCGATTGACTAAAGCCCTTCGGTAAGTTTTACGTACGGAGGCCAAATTTTAGGTACCTTGACTCCAATCATACGAATGCAAAATGGCGGCATCTCGCATCCTGGATGTAAGGTGGGTAGGGGCTCAAGGTTTTACAGCCAGCGCAGAAAGCACGCGGCGGGAGTGTCAGTGTTCCCTTCTTCCAGAGGAAATCATCCGGCGAGAACATTAGGCTTGGAGCGCACTAGCGGGCCATGTTTCGTTGGGATCCGATGAAGTTGACGTATGATACTCAGTGAGTTTGATTTGAGCTCAAACTTTACGCGAGTGCGCCGTCCAGGGCTAAGCTCAATGCACGAAATTTCGCGTCTTGACCAGGTCCAGCAAAGATACTATTCAACCAGAGCTGGGACAGAGCAAGCCTGCAGTCTGATCAAGCTTGATTTAGACTAGATATAGAAATCGTAGGCTGCTTTTGGCCGTTCACCGCACTTTAGAAGGGTATGGCTAGCCCAAATAGGTTTGTGTCTCAAACAGTGCTAATCAATGTCAATTAAATGGGGTGACGAGATTATCGATAAGACGCTGTACGCGAAAAAAAAAAGAGCTGATCATGTGCGTTTAGACTTGTAACGTTACCTTGGGAGCTCTGCAGAATCCACGTGATTCCGGGCATTAGACACAGCCAAGCATTGCGAGACTGTGCCCTTAAACCAACTACTTCTCGTCTTCGCAGAACGTCATTGCGAGATGGATGCTCCCAGGATATTGCCGACACTACTTTTAATTAGCTAACCTTATTTCTGCAGAACTGGTCATTCCTATCCACAAGATGGGAACACCAGCGCTAAACGCTCGCAAAGCTTTGGCGAGGTGCCTTATCACAGTACACGCGAGTTCTATCTCATTGAATGCTAACTATGTTACTCCACCCTAGGAAAGTTTTATAGTATTCAGTCTTCTCGGAAGATTTACCTCTATCATCTCCCTACAACAAACTTTACCTGAACATGACAGCATCCCTAGACAAGTGAATGTAATCCATCAATGGGGTTAAACATCTATGTTAATTATGCTAGAAGCTGGAGGGGGAGCCTATAGCTGAACATACAACTCAGCCCTCATATGGGCTCGTCGGCGCATACCGGGTACATATCCGTTCACATTTCAACACGATCGCTCGTCGTGGTGACAACACCGGGCACCGTGGTGGGCGCGATTCATTCCCCGAGCTCTAGAACAAGAGTAGAATTAAGGCTCGAGAACGGCCAGCGCGTCACAATTCGGCTAGGGGAATTGGCTGTATGCAACGTTACACTATCAACTGCCCCCCGAAGGTCGCTGTTTTCGGCTGAAAACACCGCGTTCGCATGGCTCGAAATGGTTAGGTTAAAACCTCAAGCTGCATGTACTAAGAGTACCAAAATAGCTTTCTTCACTGAATCACCCAGCCCATTAATGTGATTTCTGCGCCGGGGACATCTTCGCGCAAGGCAACCGCCTCACGGCCTACGATTTCCTTTCTCTTGCTGAGCGCGTACTACTGACCATCATACAGTATGTCGTTTCATTTCCTTTCCTTCATTTCCACAAACGTGTGGTCGCTCAGGACTTCAAGCTCTGGGCCTGTGGCGACGAGTGAAGATGGCGTGTGTTGAAAGGGAAGAACTAGGGAGGGATAGCGACATCGGGTTGTGAGAGTAGTTATATCTAAAATGAATTTACGTCTACTTTGCAGGGTGGTGCAACAAGACATGGTGCGAAGTTCATTCCCATATGTTCATGGATAGTGAATGACATTTACTCATACCACCCTATGCCAATATGTTAAGGAGTGGTCTAGGATTACAACTTGCCATCCTCGTAAGTGGGGGTATCTCCCTGTGTTTTATGGACAAATTGAATAGATCAAATGCTCCCTGCTAACTTTGCGATGTTTCGTGGTTAGGGAATACGACGTGATAGCGACATGTCGTGGTTGTTCCTATTTAAGACTAGTAGCCTCAGTGTTATTCTCCGAATCCTAACATCCTCAGCCCCCAACGTTCCTTCACAATTGAATTATCTGACTCTTCTACTGCAAAATAGCTTGTGCGTGGGAGCATGTACCTTGAACGCTGAGTCCGATCCTCCGCAATTTAACCTTCCACAACCACGTCCGGTCTCAGTGTGACATGTTCCCGTTGATGTTGCAGAATTCGGAGCAAGTCTTAAGGCGTACTATAATCTGCGCCAACGTATCCTAACCATTCGGTTTTGTCACAGATCACTATTCTCGCTCTCTTAGGAAATACTCGATCAGATCGTTGTTGATGCGCTGCAATCAGTAACGAGCCATGTTTGAGGCCTATAGAAGAAAACCCTTGAATGCATGCAACGCAGATACACAATCAAATATCACTGTAGCTAGCCTGGATTCAATATAGATAAAATATTTCACCAGGCGAACAGAGGGGACAAGGAGCTAAAGGCAGACGATTACAAGTAGAGCAGAAAGTAAAACAATTGAGGACCATGAAAAAGACAATCGCTTCATCTTACGTGACCTAGTTTGGCGCCATTAGGATCTCGGGTCAGAATGGCTGCGTTAATCCTTCTCTTACGCAAAATTTACTAACGGAAGGAAGGATGGAGATATGGAGCTAGGTAAGGATGACGGGGGAATCAGAATAATCAGACAAAATGCTCACTTCCTGAGGTTCAAGAACGCAAAGTATTCCATGTTCGACTAGCGTATACCTAATAATGTACCCCTTCTTAGACAATGCATGCCATTTAGGCTTAACCGTGATGATCTTCCACGAGGCATTCAGCGAGGAACCGATACCCTTGTTCCTGGAGAGCCATGAAGGTATAGCGTGGTATACCGATTGCTTTCTGGTCTTGCCCTAGGGGCCAAAGTTTAGAAATATTGGTGGCACAACACTTTCCATGGACTCTGCTAAAATATTCGCCGAAAGCGATGGCTGTCGCGCCTTTCGACGTGGGATTCACGTTCCCTCACCGAATATCTCAGATACCGAACAGCGCCGCTTCGAGAGAGTAATCAGAATTCTAAGCCTGAAGCCCAAATTTCCAGTTTCTGACTTCGAGTGTTTCATCAGGACCAGTATGAAAGACTCTGTTCTGAAGAACATACGTACAAGAGGAATTACAAGCTCCGCGGAACTAGGAAAATTTGAGAAGGCCGAGATACTAGCGTGTTTCCTAGCAAAGAAGAAGAATGGCCAGTACAACTATTTTGCTTCAATGTGGCAGCAAGTCACAACTAACTTCATTCTTATTAGAATTTGGAAGCAAAACTTAGCCTCAATTGATGAATATTTCCAAAGATCAAGGAAATGACTGATCTTACTAGTAAGAAACACAATCTCCTAACTAGTGGCTAGCAGGAGGGAAAGAAAGCACGAATCATGCCACTAGGATGCTTCAGGAAGAAGACGTCAGAACCTTCTCTCCGATACCCTAGAATGCTATCAGCATAGAGTCCTAGCAACCGAAATATGATTCGTTATCCATTCTAAGCTCTATCCCTCTTATCTTGTCCAGTACTCAGTCACCGAAATCCAGCTCCTTTACCAACCCCTCGACTCCCCATCATTCTCCATCTTTGCAACCTCCTCATCTCTATCCCAAACCTTCACACCAGCAACCCACGTCTGTAACACTTCTCCACTCTCGTTCAAAACGCACAAATCCGCCCTCCGTCCCTCCTTCAGAACCCCCCTTCCTCCCTCCCCATCAATTCCCATAAACCCAGCCACATTCTCCGTGACCGTGCTCACTGCCTCCGCAATCCCGCAGCCAGTCCACTTCATCAAGTTCCGCATCCCATGTTGTAGACTAATACATCCGCCAACTAGCGTATCCGTGTCTGCAATCGTTGCTCTTGTCCCCTTTTTCGTTTGTTGGAATGGGATCTGCGAATGTCCTGGGTACGTACCGTCGGGCAGAGAGGCGAGCTCGATGCTATCGGTTATTAGAATGGAGCGTTGTGGGTTGGTATTGTAGAGCAGCGAGACTGTATTGGGGTGTAGGTGTTGGCCATCTGGGATAAGTGTGAAGTAGGGTGGCGGTGGTTTGTGGGATGGTGGTAGCGAGATTAGACCTGCTAGACCAGGGGCTCGCGATGTGATGGGTGACATGGCGTTTAGAGTGTGGGTTAGACAAGTTGCGCCTGCTGTGAGGCCTGAGAGGCCTTCGTTGAGGGTTGCGTTGGAGTGGCCCATGGACACTTTGATGTTCTGGGAGACGAAGGACTTAATGAGAGGGGAAGAATAGGGGAGCTCTGGTGCGAGAGTTACGAGTTTGATGGAGGAAGAGATGTTTGAAGAGGCGTAAATGTCGGAAGGAGAGGTGTTGCAGGCTTGGAAGAGGAATTCATTGTGGGCACCCTTTTTTGAAGGGTGGAGATAGGGCCCTTCGCAGTGAGCACCGAGAAGTGAAGCAGCGTTGGGGATGTCTCGAGGGACCAAGTATGGGAGAATCTATGCTACGCGTCAGATGCGGTTAAGTGAAAGAGACCCGGATGTCAGATATTAGAGGTTTTGCTGAAATGTCGACATTGAAATAGATTCACGTGGCACTATTGATGTATTGATGCAAAGAAACGAGGTATTGGAAGCATATGGTGTTGTGATACAGTTAAATATGTACAAACAAAAATACCCACCTTCTTGAAATCTTCCCCCTTCACCGTCGGTATCGTCGCCCAAAAGCCCGTTACACCCTGAGTAGCATAATGTCGAGCAACACCATCAATCTTCTTTGCATAGCTCTTCTCATCTTCAAAATGTGTGAAGTGGAACCCATTAACTCCATTAGTCTGAAGCTCTAAGAAACCGGGGGCAATGATATTATCATCAAGGTCAACGGCTTCGCCTCCAATATACCCCTCTCTTCTCAAGATAAACCCCGTTTCATCCGAGATGACGAGGTGGTCTTCAACGAGCTCGCCATCAAGGACGTAGCGGCAGTTTGTAAATAGAGTGAACCAACCCGACATGTCAAGATATATGTCTCTACAAGATAGTGGCTGAGAGGGTGGGTCGAGATGGGACAGCCGATGAATCGCGGGGCTCTCGCCAAGACCGTGTGCAAGACGAAACAAGCGCCGCCTTTGGTGTTGTTGATTGGGCGAGATCCCCTGACGGTGATCGCAGCACCCTTGCCCATGACGATCAGTGAACTCCACTTGAGTCAGGAGGGCTAGGATGAGAATTGAAAATGCAGCCGTAGAGAATATCGACGGCTCGTTGGCGTTCATTAGCTGCGCGCTTGGGCGTCAATGTCTTTGCGAAAGTGGCATGGCTGATGGTATGGCTTGCCTGTGCCAGAGCGATTGCGTAGGGTATGATGTCATTGTCCGAGAGGTTCGTATAGGGTTGCACATCAACCTCTTGAACGCGCGCAAACTACGTCTTCCCTGCTTTCTCGTACTACAGCTTCAGAGCACTCCTTTACTTAATTTCCTCCCCTCCTTGGGCGCCTCACCACTCCCTTTGTCCCCAGTCAATTTCAGCTGACTTTGCCTCAATTGCTCCTCTTGTGCAGCTAAACCCAGACCAGAAGGCCAAGAGGGGACAGCATTACCATGGCGGAACAACAACAGCAGCACATGCCTGGTGGGCATTACTCCGGTGCCAACCCCGTTCCGACCGTGAGGAAGTTCATCCAGAATCTCGACAAAGACAAGAAAGAGCGAGACCGCAAACTAGACGAAGAGATGTCTGCTAAGCAGACCTCCTCTAGTGACGTTGTCCCACATAAACCTCAGAAGACGGGTATCAAGAGCACTCAGAAGAAGGTAACGGATCCGACGACGGGCAGGGAGGTCGTCATTGAGGACGCAGATAAGTCTATGATGAATCAAGTGGAGAATCCCCAGGTATAATGCGAGGAAGAAGACGGTTTAAAGCCAGGGCTGACTAGAATAGCTGTCTGTTCCAAATGCTAATTTAGGGAAGGATACGGTGAGTTCATTTACCAATGCTTGATTGCTATATCTATCTGACTATTTCTAGCCCATCAAGACAGATCCCTCACAATCTTTCGAGGATTACAAGTACAACCAGGATGTCACGGCTCCCCCAGACCCAGTTGCAGAGGGTACTACTTCCGATGTTCCAATTCACGGTGAGAAGACCAACATTCTCTTCCACCCGACTCCGTCCGTCAGCTATGAACCTATGTTCGCTGCTCTCGAGAAACGGGCTGGATTTCTGTGCATTGGTATTCTTGTGACGACAGTAGTAATTGGCAAGATATTTGGCGGAGCTCTCAAGGGACTGATTCTCTTGAGTATGTGCCTTTCATCCGGGGTATGGTTGTGGATGAAAGAGGTGGTGCGCAGCGGAAGGGAAGTAGAATGGCACAGTGAGCAGACACGCGGTGAGGTGGTAAGAATACTCCAGGTCATAACGGAAACTCGAACATGCTAATTCATATCTAGGCCACCGCCAATCTACTTCCTGAATCCGTTGAGTGGATGAACAGCTTGCTAGGGATTGTCTGGGGCTTGATCAATCCCGATATGTTCCAAGGAGTTGCAGACACGCTTGAAGATGTCATGCAAGCCAGTGTTCCAGGAGTTATTGAAAACGTCCGTGTCGCCGAGATTAATCAGGGTAGCAATCCACTCCGAATTCTTAGCCTTCGGGCTCTGCCAGACAGTCACATGGGAGAACTTAAGAAGTCCATCCATGAGGAAAACAAGAAGACCAAAGATCCCCAGGAAGCGGCGGCCGATGAAGAAGGAGGCGATTTCTACAATCTAGAAGTCTCGTTCGCATACCATGCAAAACCTAGCGGCAAGCGAGCTTCCGACAAGGCCCGCAATATGCACATGCAACTTGTTTTCTACTTGGGTATTAAGGGATTATTTGGCGTTCCACTTCCGATCTTTGTCGAATTGCAAGGATTAATTGGGACTGTCCGCCTCCGTCTCAACATGACACCAGAGCCTCCTTTCCTGAAGACGTTGTCGTTCACTCTGATGGGTACTCCTCACGTTCAAGCTGGTTGCATACCTATGGTTGAAAAGGGCGTTAACATCCTTAACTTGCCCTTAATTAGCAACTTTGTTAACTACGCGATTGGAGCCGCGGCCAGTATGTATGTCGCACCGAAGTCAATGAGCATCGACATGCGAGCTATTCTTCAGGGCGACTCTGTTCAGAAGGATGTAGAGGCTCTTGGTGTCATGTGGATTCGTATCCATCGAGCTGTGGGCCTAAGCAAGCAAGACCGGCGCGGCTCTGCGCATGGCGGAAGCGACCCCTACATCACGCTGGCCTTTTCCAAGTACAGTAAGCCGATGTACTGTACCCGGGTCATCACCGATGATTTGAATCCTATCTGGGAAGAAACTACGGCGCTCTTGGTTACCCCAGAACTCATCAAAGCCGATGAGAACCTTAGTGTAGAACTTTGGGATTCAGATCGTCATACTGCGGATGACATCGTTGGGAAAGTCGAGCTTTCGATGCAGAAGATGATTCAACATCCTGGCAGGATGTATCCGCAAGTGTCCAAATTGGCAGGTATGGACGCTGGAAGCGAAATGCCGGGTGAACTTCACTGGGAGGTGGGCTACTTCGGCAAGCCTCAGTTCCGCCCTGCGCTGAGGACTGACGGCAAGAATCGAGCACTGCCAGACGAGTTGAAAGACGACCCGTCACTACAGGATGATAAAGGTGTCATAAACAGTGAGCAAGACGACGCTGTGATGCACACTCCACCAGACCCTTTATGGCCAAGTGGAGTGTGCTCCATCATCGTTCACCAGATTGTGAACCTCGAACTCGAAAATGTCAAGGGCAGTGAGGGCAATCGTAGAGGGAGAGAGTATGAGCCAGCGAAGCCATTTGGGGAAGCTACTGAAGAGACAGGAGGGAATCTTCCCACATCTTATTGTACCATCCTCTACAACGACCAGCTTGTCTACCGAACGAGGAGTAAGGCCGTCTCGTCCCAGCCTATTTTTAACGCAGGAACAGAACGATTCATTCGCGACTGGCGTTCAGCCATCGTCACGGTCACTGTTCGCGATTCCCGCAATCGAGAACACGATCCTATACTTGGAGTCGTACCCTTGAAGCTTTCTGATATTCTCGAGACATCGTCTCAAGTCACTCGGTGGTATCCGCTCGATGGAGGCATTGGATTCGGCCGCATTCGTATCTCGCTCCTTTTCCGCAGCATTGAAACTCGTCTCCCTGCAAACATGCTAGGTTGGGATGTAGGCACATTTGAATTCCGGTCTGAGCGGATCCTGGCAGTGGGATACACTCGTGCAGCGAAGTTGCGACTTCGAACCGGTGGCAGCACGGGAAAGATTTCTCGATCCCAAGCCCAGAAACTTGATGAAGGCGATGGCTACTATTGGGATTTGACAACTACAGGGGGCAAGAACAATATTCGCTTACCCGTGAAGTATCGTTATAGATCGCCCATCGTATTCGAGTTCCATGTCGCCAACAAGAGGAAAGCAGATGCCTATGCAACGATCTGGCTTCAGCATTTCATAGATAACGAAGACGCAGACATCAACATTCCCATCTGGCAGACGGCAAATCCGGCCCGCCTCACCCAAAACTACATCACGGAGGAGAATTGCAAGAAAGAACCAGGCCTCGACGAACTCGAAGAAGTCGGTCGCCTTCAATTCCGTGCTCGATTCAAGGCGGGAACAGATGAATCTCACGAATCCTTCATTGTCGATAATGAATCCCGTGAAACCTATGAAACCTGGGAATGCTGTCTCACTGAAGGCGTTCGCAACCGTAAAGTCGACAAGGAACTCCCAGATCGCCTCCAACGGCTGCACGACGAATCACTGGTTGAGGGACGAGACATGCTGAAGCAAGCAGATGATCAAGAGAAAAAGAAATGGCTCTCCAAGGATGGTGAAGACTGGTCTGGAGCCTTTGGTCACGACCCGAAGGCATATATGGATACCAAAGGCAAAAAGAGGAGAGAACCTGGCGTTGAAGAACCACTACATGACCCATACCACCCAAGCGATGACGAAGACCATGACGACGTCGACAACGACAGCGGCTCTTCGTCCGAAGATCTCGGTATCCAAGACGCCGACAACGCAGGCAACATGTCCAGCATGAACGGCCAACTCCAACACCAAAGCACCGATTTATCTCCCAGCTCCGCTCGTGCCTCCGCCAGCATAGACCGCACCGAAACAACAACTGATACGAACGGCTCATTGAACCAGTCGTCGACGAGTTCTAGTAAGGACGTTAATCGACAGAATAAGAGGGCCGAGGAGCGCAAGCAGAGGGGTTTGATGCAGTGGAGTATGTTGTGACACACCGTTTCACTGGCGTGTGGGAAGGCTAATGAGGAGACAGAGCCGGCCCGCAATGCCAAGTTCGCGAAGGATCAAGGCAAGATTGGGTTTGCAAAGTTGAAGAAGAAGATTACGGGGGGATTGGAGGGACGGCAGCTTGGGGTTGAGACTGGTGAGTATCTTCTTGCTTTGCGGAACGGGATTGATGGAACTAACTATTTGTACAGAAACTGGAAGCTAAACTTGACGCCGAGAGAAGGGTCATATGTGGTTTTAATCAAGTGTGATCTAGGAACCTGGTGATAGGAATGAATGGCAAGATTAAAACGTGGGTACTATGGTGTAAGCTGGATCATTTGGACGCTTCTTGTGAGCATGGTGGGCCACTTTATTTGGGTGTATCTGGGGTCCAGTTAATTATTACGTTGCATTTCGTCAGAGAAAAAGGATACATGTAGTGCTCTCTAATGCCTTTCCTTACCATACCTTACCATACATTTCCTTGTCTCTTTTTATTCTTGTCTCGAGTCAAGACACTGTATATCTAGCTATGTAGTACACCACCAATCCACCAAAATCCTTGTCTACCACCTTGAGTGCTAGACGCATTATCGCTCATTCTTGGCCACCCAATACCCTTCTCATGGCCACTGTCCCACGTAATTGTGACTCTACCCTTGTAATGATCATCCGATAGTCACAGAGTCTTCACCCTGATGCAAAACCTCTCTCTAATATCGCCGATTACTTCCTGAGAATAATTGGTTGAGAATGAATGCACGGCGGATGGCTCACCCGCTTAGACTTGTCGACTACCAAATGGCCGTACTGTCTTTGCCGCCGCCGCGCGTTTGATGCGGAATACATGTGGTGGGGATCATATGATGGACCGAGAGATAATGTAGGAGCCATTGTGGAGCGCATATTGTGGCAAGCCGGCTGAGTGAGCGACAATCTAACGCAATGTGTGCAGATGCAAGGGAAATTGGGGCGCCACCCAGGCCGGGAGTTGCCAGGAGGTGAAGATTGAGGGAAGAAGGGCGCGGGAGACGTGAGAGTGGTTGAAGGTGTTGGGATTGTTGTTGGTGATCCAGGAGGAGAAACTCTATTGGGTACTTTTAAAGTTGAGTCGTCTGAGCAAATCATGTACGTGGAACAAGATGCCTGGTTTACGCCATGTTTCGGGTGGTCTGCATGCTTATACGGTCAGCTGACTTGGGATTAGTGCTGGCTATTGCTGGTTATTCGGCCGATCGATTGGGGAGAGGGAGCCGGGGTGGGATGGGGGCTATTCCGCCTCCATATCATAGAACATAGCCTCTCTCGATGCTGCCGGATGTCAATCGTAGCGCAATGATAACGGATGCGGTGAACTGAAGTCGCATTTACCACATCTGGACTAATATGGCGCGCGCGCCGAAGGAACTATCTATAGAGTGACTCAGCTGCGAAACACGGATATGAGCTTGCGGCATGGAGGAGAGCTGGGGCTAAAGCCATGCAGCATAGCAGCCGTGAAGATTGCGGGAACGGGTGTGACAATCCAGTCTTCCTTCCGAGGCGTCAGCGGCGGCAGAACTCGGTGTACAAACTGAACTCGGCGTCTAATTTGAATTAGCTATTGGTGGGAAGACAGGGTTTAGGGAGTTTAAGGGAGGAGGCGGCACTGTAGTGAAGGCTGATCGCTTGGGGATGCGGAACGACCCTGGGGCGATAACCGTCCTTCAGTAGGGCTGAGCGGCGTAATTGGCTGAGCGGTGTAGAAAAAGGCGTAATTTGCTTGATTCGATACCTTAGGCATGCAGGAAGTCGATCTATGAGGTAGGGTTCTCTTTTAATTCCCCTTCACCTCTGCCACAGCGGCACAGTGCGGCGCAGCCGCGTAGGGGTCGAAGGCTCAACACAGAGGAGAAGAGCGAAAGCGAACAGTCGGATGGGGCACTCTACCGCTTGTAAGAGGTAATTGGACGCCATCTCGGATCTTTAGAGGCATGGAAAGTGAGGCGTTTGCATGGTGTTAGCCTTGAAGACGAAAGGTCTGACTGGCCCCAAGGAAGTTGCACAAATGTTACGAGCCCTTTACGAAACGCATTCTTCCTCCGAAAACAGCAACCGGGTCAGTCGGTAACTGAGTGCGGTGACTCACCGCTGAACCTTTACTCCCACGAGCGTGAGTTGTGGTGGGCGCTTGAGCCGCAGCGTTGTTCCCAATGCTGTACCGGCAACGAAAGGGCACAGCTCTTTGTCTCATCAAAACTAGCTCCTTGGAGCTGCTCAGTCTCCTACCTAAAAACAAATCGAAGATAATTAATGTCAAGGGCGCCAAATATGTTGGTTAGCCTTCTAGTGCTCCTCAATTGCCACGAGCAGGATTCTACCATGCAATATTTCTGCCAGAAGCTCGAGCTGGAACATTTTAATGATCGATAGATAAATACGCGCTTCCGGCATCCTGGTTGGCTAGTTTGACGAAAGTGAGGCGGCCGTTAGACCGCGTGTGCGTGCGGCACGTTATTCTTTTTTTGACGTCCAACCTGACAGCATCTCTTAAGTGGTTTGTCGGAGTCCAGCGCAATCTCCTCTTACCAGCGAGTGCAGGTGGAGCTAAGGGGTGATGGACAGGCGCCCTAAAGGTTCCTGAATCATTTGGGGTTCGTAGGCGTGAGTGATTTTCGTGTGGGATTGAATGGTGACACTCATAAACTTGAACACGTGATCCAAAAGTTAGAGACGGAAAGTTCTGCGTGGAACTAAGGTAGATGGATGGAATTAAGCAAGCGGCATTTACGCCGGTCTAGTGAGGTGGTTGGAGTCGTTAGCACCGAGGGACAGGACCTATCAAACCACGTCGATTAAGCTAGCATTGAATGGGGAAACTTTCCTGTACCAAAGGGCATTTCTTCATATGGATAGGTATGGATCAAATGACGGCAGGTTGGTATACTTGGATCATGGCCGTTCACGGCACTAGACCACCGCTAGCTGAGTTCAGTTGTTGCCGGCAATGTACATACTTAGGAGACTGGAACCTATGAACCCTTGCCTAGGTTAGGAATGCGGAAGACGGGGGTAAAGTAGAAAGTGGACGGTGAGATCCGAGCTCTAGAGGTCATCCAAAGCAGAACCTGATAGTAGTAGTCGTAGCTCAAGATTGCTATGTCCCTAGAGTGTCGGAGCTGCGTGTCTTGATTATCGGTCCTTGGGAATAAACGAATTCGCCCCAGTACCAGACTCGGATACTGGTGCTTTAGCATCAAACTCGGTTTAAAAGGATACCAAAAGGGGTGCTTTCCACCTTCTAAGCCACAAGGGGTTGTTTGGAGAGGCGCTCTGACTCATCCAGTGTTAGAGAACACTCTCGGGGCGAATGTAAGAAGCACTTCCCGACGCCCCACGGAAACTCCTAGACATTTATTTCCGTGAGTAGGAGTTGGCAAGGTTGACGTCGCGATTGAAGAAATTTTTGCTTTCGCCGTACATATCAGGCTTTCCGTCTGTTCGGAGATGTTCGATACGAAGCGCCTAAATTCTGCTTGAAGCGATGTGGAGTTTGCGCCCCGAGTTTGACGCCGCCGCAACGACGCTTAGGCGAATCAGCTTGCTGCAAGTGGTGCCTGACAGTGGCGAAGAATACAGGATCAGAGATGAAGACATGTTGTGTAATCTGTTTGGGCGGGATAAGGCAGTGTTGGATGAAGAGGGGCGGTGTCTTGAGGACATTATGAAAGGAGTTCAGGATAGCGCCTTCCATCGGAACGTCGGTACTAAGAATTATGGGCACAGTTCGGTGCCATGGCCACAACTTGAGAAATATGCACTGTTTATGCGAAACTTGATGGAAGGATTGATGATAGAGCGGACTCATTTTTTTGGCCCCAGTTCAAAAAATTCTTATAGATCGCAGACACTAGTCTCGCACTAACGAACACCAAGGGCGAGGCCGGGAGCAGATATAAAAGTAAAGGCATATGAGAAATCAAGAAAATATGGAGTACACTTTCTCTAGTCACAAACAAGGGGGGGTAATGGGGTAGAAGAACAAATTCATTTGGTGTTTGAAAGAGTGGCTACAGATCTTGCAACGGGCTCCTAACAGGCTGGCACGCTGGAAGGACCAAAGGAAGGGTTTCAAAAAGAAATGAATTTTCAAATGACCATCAAAACCCAAAGATAACAAACACCAAAGCAGAGTACCAGGTTGCCACCGTGAGATTCGACGGAAGAATGGTGGCAGATGAATCTGCTATTTACTGCGGATCTATCGTTGCCTTTGAAATCGTAAGCACATGCCCACTAGAATGGAAAAGTGGAACCTCACTAGACAGCGAGGACACGGACGTGGAGCCCCATATTGTAGGTAATCTCGGTGGACTGGGCAAGGCTGCAGTTGCAATGGGCCCCCGAGGAGTCCACTGCCCTGATTGGCGCCGTGACCTCCGGCGACACCTTGGCCTTGACCATTTCCAGTGGTATTCTGAGTGTTTCCTTTGCCAGTAGAACTCATCGTGATAGAATTTCGGTTGAATGGATATCTTTGGGTGGTTATAAATTCAAGACGACTGAATGGCGCGTGAAGTGACGTTGGCGTTCAGAGAAAGATAGAAAATAGGCTGAGGAAAGACACAGTGGTGTGTTGGAGAAGGATACTGTGGTATTCAAGTGAAGTAGGTCCCCTTTATACTCATTTTGACAGGGTGGCCGAGCTGTTTGGGCAGAGTCCACGCCACAAAGTGAAAGAAGTGATACTCGGTTGATGCTAAGCTGATCGTCCTCGTGTGAGACAATATCATTATAAAAATGCAAGAAAGCGGCGAGGTGGACCTGAATGTTTCTGAAAGTTCGGATGATGCCGAGCCAAGTGTCGGAGGCACAGAGAACTAGCGTCCATAGCGTCAACACAGTGCCACAGCTACTTGAAGGCAGAAACTGAGAGAGTAATTCGATTTTAGGAAGACTTCTATATTCCAACTCGATCTCCTTTAGAAAGCCTCTGACTTTATTCAAGGAAGCTAGAAATAAGAGGTTCCGTTTTATTAAGAATCTAGTAATTGATGACAAAAGAAACTTCAGGAATGGAGCAAGTTAGTTCGAGGAGTTACTGGGATTGTGGGAAACTTTTATGTATAATTTTGTTCAAGAGAGGTCCCAGTATGCAAGGTCGAATGTATACAGGTTTAGTCGGAGGTTGGATAGACGTCTCTTTCGGTAAATTTCAAGCCACGGAGAACATGGCTGGGGAAGACATGGATATTGGCAATCCGTAATCAAAGTGGCGTAACAATACCATTTGTCTGGGAATAAAACCAAGTCTTATGTGGCGGTGAAAAAATTGAGGCTAGTGCCTCTTCCACAGCGGCGCAGCGAGTGACGGTGACGGAAGCTGAGAGAATCTTTCACAAGGGATAGAAAACTTCAAGATATTCGAAATTGGATGACGTATAGAATGAGGTAGCCGAGGATAGTGAAGGGGCAGTAGAAGTTAAACGCTACGTAGAGGGCAGATATGGTTGTGAGTTCTGAAAGTTCACCTTCGCATATGGGGGTGTGGGCAGCTTCAGCTTTTAGTCAGCCTGGGCTTCTGAACAACTCGAGCTTTCATAGATGCAGCTATTTGAAGATTTTTTACGGAGAATGGATCTTCGGAAGGTTCGAAAACATCGTGGACCTCAAGGGGTGCATTACCTAACAAGTCAGCCTTAAAATGAAGGTCACGTGCTTAGAGCGCTTGCCATTTGAGGCATCCAAAGCAGTGCTGGCGATAGATCGATCCGATTCGTGGATCGATCCGAATCCACGCTATCCTGAATCTGGATTGGATCCTCGAATCAATTCATAGTCTTAGCTGAAAATTTGCTTCCCTATTAATAAAACAACTTTAAAAGTCTTGTACAATAGAATCCTATAAATTAAGCTTAACTCTAGTGCCTAAAAATAAGGGCAGTGACATTAGAAACTTTGTACAACTACTAATGTCTAATAAACCTACTAAATAAAACAGCTAGCTTCTCTAATACTGTAATTTCTACAATTACAACTACGCTTTAAAGGTTGTTATAAACTTTTAAAGGCACTTAAAATCTAACTACTAAGTTTTAGCAAAGGGTACTCTTTCTTTTATATAATAAGCAGGTGCTATTAAACTCTAAAAGCTATAAGACTACGCAGAACCTTACACAAAAGAAGATATACAGAATGCTGCGTTTAAAGCCTATCTAAATAAAGATATTATTTAAAAAGCTCTTATATAACTAATTATTTAACAGCATTTTACTCTCTTAGTTATTAAATTATTGTCCTTTTAAGCTTTTATACAAGCATTAAATCTTGTTACTAGAGAGGCTATTTTAGTTTTACACTTTACTATTTATACAGCAATCTAAAGCTATTAGTATAAAGAGAAGCTTATTTTTTAGCGTAAGATTTAAACAGCAACTTTAAAGATTAATGTTACGCTTAATCTCTAGACCTCTCTAAACTAAATTCTATTTATTGCAATTACTAGACACTTTGTATAAAGCTTAGATAATACTGTTACTAAACACTTTCTTACTTTACAACTAGTCTTAGGCTATTCTAGTAAAGAACAGTTCTCTGTACTTTGTACAGTACTTAAGGAGTACAAGATTACTAGAAATCTAGAAGCAGTTGTTAGAGATAATGCTAGCACTAATAACACTCTCTATTGTATAATTAGTAAGTAGTATTCTAACAAACTTAATCTACATTAGGATTCTAAGAATAAAAGAGTTTGCTATTTTAGTTATATTATTAATCTTATTATATAAGCATTTCTGTTTTTAAGTTTATATAAAAGTTATCTTAAAAATCTTAAAGCTGTAGACCTTAAAAAGGCAAATAAATTACCCTCTAATTCTATACAACAAGATATAATTAGAGCTATTAGTCCCCTTAGCAAACTTTATAACATTGTAGTCTATATTTATAGTTTAGGGCTTTGTATAAATAAGTTTATCTTGTAAGCTAGACAGATAATACTCTTAGACAATTATATAAGATAAAACAGCTAGTATTATATAATTAATACAGTAATTAAGCTTAAAATGTATGTAGATTTCTATGTTAAAAACTAACTTAATCTTAAACGCAATACTTTAGAAATAAAGGATTAGAAAATGCTTTATATAATAAAAACATTCTTGCAGATTTTTAAAAATGTAATTCTCTAAAACAAAGAAGATGTAAAATGCCTTAGACAGGCTCTTCCTTCTCTATAGATCTTATAGACTTACATAATAGCTTTCCTAGCAAAACATAAGAAGGGAAATACATAATTTAATAAAAATTATGTTATATAAGCTACCTAGGCACTTACAGCATAGCAAAAATAGTAGGACTTACTTTAAAAGCATCTTCTCTACTAAATTGCAACAGTTTTACATCTTTATTATTATATAAACTAGGCTAATAAGGTAATGCTTACCTTAAGGTTCTTTGCTAAAGACTAAAAAGCATAGAAAGCTTAGCTAAAATAATTCTAGCTTAATTTTTAATCTAAATATTAAGATTTATTATTAACACCTCTCTAAAGTAAAGTGTAAGAGTAAAGAAAACAACAGGCTACTTATTATATAACAGCATAGATTATTTATAAAGTCTAGGATTATTTAATTAAAGCTATAACTAAGTAAATTCTTAGTAATTAGGCTTTAGTAGAGAATCTAGATAAGTAGGCAGAGTATACAGGAGAGCTAGCAACAAAGGGGGTTAAAGATGTGTTAAAATAGTGGCAGAATAACGTACAATAATCTTAGTAGCCCCTTCTTACTTATCTTGCACTTAAGATCTACTCTATACTACTTATAAGTAATAAACTAGAACATATCTTTTTTAAAGCACATTATATAATCTTTTAGACTTAAGCATTATTAAATTTTAATATTATTAAAGTAATTAAATCTTTAAATTACTAGTTAAGTTAAAAATAAGTAGACTATTTAAAAGAGTAAAGATCTTTATTTTCTATCTTATTCTTTACTTATAAAAAGACTGTTAATTTTAAGTAATTTATTATACAATATTCTAGCGCCTATTCTTATTATTACTCTCTAGCTCCTTAATCTTGTATAGGTAATCTATAACAATGTTATTTACACTAGAAGACAAAGTTGCTAGGGGACCTATACTATTATTAGGTGTCAGACGATACTAATTAGGTTAAGAGCTATTATAGTAACTGCAACAGGCAGCCTAATCTTTAAATTTGTAATTAGCGCAAGCAGCTGCCTACTTAGACAAGAGTAAAACACACTCTAAAAATAAACTATAGTAAGAATAGCTAGCATACTCTACTATGTAAGTTAGTTGTTGTACAACATGTAAGATAGAAGGCATATAGTAAGGTTCTATGTTAATAGTACTATAAGTCTAAATTAACACTGCATTAACATATAACAGGCAGTGGGTATTTAATTAGAAGGCATAAAGGGTGCTGCTGTAGTATTTAACATTATTATAGGGTGCAGAGAGAACCTATTTCTGCTAGATCTAAAATTGTTAGCTTATTGTACAATAGGGGGAGTAACTTACAGTATGCGCTACAACTCCTAGAGCTGCTTGTACGTTTAGGTTAGAGGCAGCAGGAAAAACCTAGATGCATCTTTTGCGGCTATTAGCGCTATGCTGCTCCTAGCTATTTTTATTGTTCTTCTTAGCATTCTAAATTACAATGTCTATGTTTTTATATAATAAAATAAAAAGAAGATACTTTTTGTAATGCTTGTTGTATAAAGCAGGGCTTAATATACATTTCTCCCTTTATTGTTTAGATTTTAAGCTATTAACTGCTCCTATTGTAAATAGAATTCTATTATCCTAAGCTAAATTTTTATTAAATGTTTATTATACAACCTATTAAGAGTATAATAGCACAAAAAATTAAGTAAAAGACTAATTGTTTAGAATAGTTGCCTATTTAGCCTTAGCGCTGGATTGATTCATGGATCCGATCCAGATCCAGGATAGCGCCACGTGATTCCGGATAATCGATTCGGACCGATTCCCGCCAGCACTGATCCAAAGTTGACGTTAACTTGATAGTTCCTTACAGACCTTCTTAACCTGCACACAACTCATTAGATCTTGGCCGCCTTTCCAAGATACTATTCTTGCGTACAGATGGAAGTCTCTACCCCGTTCACCAAGAGGGCTTTTCTGAGGTTGTGACTGAATCGTGACTTGTAGAACAGAACGTTCAGAGTTCTCAACAATTAAGCTGGCTTGCAAGCTAGCTTAATAGGCTTGCTATGTAAGCAAGTAAGCTAAGCAAGCTAAGAGAATAAATTGTAATAAGCAATTAAGCTAAAAATCTCTAGCTTATTAGGCCTAGCTTATAAAGTCTATTAATATTCTAATTATTTCTAATTTTTTTACTATTTTAAAAAGATGCTAAGCATCTTGTATAACTTTAGTAATAGTAACTTTTTATTTACTTATAGCTGCTTTACTTTTAACGTACTCTACAGGTGTAACAGCGCAGGCAAGACAATAGGTCTAAATGCGGTGTGAATCTACTTAGAGGCATATAAGTGCGTAGAGACTTAGAAACCTAGTAATTCTATTAACACCTATAGGCCTTATATAGAAGGGTATTAGAAAACTACTAGGCTAGCTAAGAGAAGAGGTACAACTAAATACTTAGAGGAATAGAGGTATAGCAAAGGCTAGGGCAGAGTTAGAGTAGATATAAAAAACCTTTAAATGTAAGTTTATTAAGTAAACTTTATAACGTACACTATAGGCAAGTTGCTTACACGCCTAAGTTGCTTACTTTTACTAAGACCTGTTACGTCCTACGACTAGACCATAGCCCTAGGTCAAGGAAGTGCCCTACTGTTGTTTGACTAGTGGCCGAGCCCGCTGGAGGAGGGGCAGGCAGGATCACGGGACTACACGGACGAAAGGCTGTCCCAGTATCCAGACAGCGTGATTGGAGAATGCTCCGTCCAATAGGGTCCTGCTCGCAGTGCGCGCAACTTAGAAGTATATAGCTTTAATCCTAACTATAGTTTAAAAGTTATAATTAACTTTTAGTTTATTTTTACATAGACTAAGTAGTATAATAGTTTTTAATAACACTAATACTATTATATATCTTATACTATAACGTACTTCACAGGCAAGTTGCTTACACACCTAAGTTGCTTACTTTTACTAAGACCTTACTAAACTACTTTTCTTATACTAATGCATTCTCTATAACACTACTTAGATGTGCTAAAAGAATGTTAGATATAGCTTACACTCTAAGCTTTTAAATAAGACATAAAACTTTTAAAGAAACATACTACAGCTATATACAAAGTTCTATAAAAAAAGAATAAATAACTATAGCGCTAGATAACCTTTATAAGCTAATTTTATAGCTAAATTATAAAAGCTAAGTAATAAAAAAAGTAGGTAATTATTAAAACTATACTTAAGCTATATATGTAAAGAATTTCCTCTTAAATAGCATTTATAGCTAATATAGCTAATTTTTTACACACTAAGCATAATCTAGGCTATGTTTATATAAACTAGCTTAGTATGTTTATAAAGTATTATTTAAAGCTTAAAGTAAAGTTTTAAGTATAAGTATAGTTAAAAAATATTTAGCTAATTATAAAGCTTATTTTACTAAAGTTATACATATTATTATTCTAAATACTATACTTAGCTTTAATAATCTTTATAAGGCTAAACCTAGTTTAAATTACTTTAGAACTTTTATAAAAAGCTTTTTTATAGTTATAGTTATATTTAAATATTACTTTAAGCTTTAAATAACACTTTATAAATGTATAAAGCTAGTTTATGCTAATATAGCCTAGATTATGC